TTTGGAGGGAGCTGAAAGTCTGTATTGCCCAGCGACAGCCCCGAAACCTGAAGGATCTGGAGAAGGTCTGTATGGAGGAGTGGGCCAAAATCCCTGCTGCAGTGTGTGCAGGAAACGTATGATCTCTGTAATTGCAAACAAAGGTTTCTGTACCAAATATTAAGTTCTGCTTTTCTGATGTATCAAATACTTATGTCATGCAATAAAATGCAAATTAATTACTTAAAAACCATACAATGTGATTTTCTGGATTTTTGTTTTAGATTCCGTCTCTCACAGTTGAAGTGTACCTATGATAAAAATTACAGACCTCTACATGCTTTGTAAGTATGAAAACCTGCAAAATTGGCAGTGTATCAAATACTTGTTCTCCCCACTGTATATATATATATATATATATATATATATATATATATATATATATATATATATATATATATATATATATATATATATATATGCGAGAAAAGAAAACATATGGGGGATTGGAAGTGATGCAGTCAATTAAATTGATGGAAGTTACAATCTATCTGCAATATTAAAGCTGATCTACCCCTTTAAAAAAAAGAAGGAAAAAAGTTGTCAAGTGCTTATTTCTGTTCTATTACATAAGTGCAATGTTTTTTTACATCCCAAATTTGGTGAGAGAGATGGATGAAAGAAAGGTCTGAAGAAGAGTAAGTTACAGGGAGCAGGGGCGGTGTGTTCAATAGGGCGATATGGGCGACGCACTGCCAAACGGGAAAAGGAAGGGATTTTTTTTCTAATCAATTATATCACGGCAACAGTAGTTATCAGTGTTGTAATCTAGACGTCTGATCTGCCACAGTGCCACACTGCCACTAAATGTCCAATCAGGCTAAAGTCGTGCTTCAAATGGCTCCCCCCCCCTTTTGGGGCGATTTCAGTCAGGTTGAAAATCGCCCAGAAGTCTGTCATAGACTCCCATGTAAAATCTATTTTTTTCAAATTTCAGAGCTTTCAATACAATCTCTATGGGTGTCTGAGGGCTTGCACTTACGCGCTTTCGTCATACGTAACGTAACCATGAACGTAACTAAGAAAAGAGCGGGTAGCCTCATCAATCAATTCACGTACTACTATCAAGATGGCTATAGCGTTCAGTGCAACTCGATTGTGTCTTTGAAAGAAGTTCCTTTTTGTCGGCGAACAAATGAAGATAAATTGGCAACGAAACAATTAGGACCTCCCAGACCAAATTTAATAATTCAACAGGTTTCTACTAAAGGCGGAAAGTCCTACACCCGAGGATTTTCCAAAAATTGGTACGAACGAAAAAAGACATTGCCACTCAACTGGATGAGGGATACAGGCTAGCTGTCCGCCGCCACAACGATGAGGTTAGTGTTGATAATCACAAGTTTACTGGAGAACTGAGACCAAGTAGAGACTTTGGACAGGGTGGATATGGTATAATAAAGGCAGTTTATTCAGAGGTAAAGATATCTGGAATCGCGTGCACGGACCCGTTCGTCAAACTCTTAGGGAGCTATACATTAAGCCCCATTACTTACCATATCAGATAAGAGAAATTGCTGCAGCTACATATATTTTACATCCTGGCCCTACATAGTTCACTATTTGCATCACTTACCAAAATATTACATGTGGTCATATATGCTTGGAAAGTGGAGATGCCATAGAACGTCAAAAAAGTAAACATTGCTGGAGACACATTGCCGTTTTGGAGAAGACATCGCGTTTGCTAGCGAAGAGATTTGTTGTGGCAAATGAACTTGGGCTGGGAATTGCCAGGAACCTCACGATAAGATATATGCATTGCGAGTCTCATGATTCTATACGTATTGCGATTCGATACTGTGATTTTATTGCGCACCATATGTCTGTTGCAGAGGGATCAGAAAGCCATGAGAACGAGTTTTGATCAGTCATGGAAATAAAAGTGCTGAAAACAAATTGGCTCCCAATGTGAAAAGATTGAGAACAAGCTATGAAGGAACAATAATGGTGTTTTGGTGCAGGTACAGCCAACTAGCGCTAAAATATTGCGATATTGTCAATACAGTATATCGTAAAGTATCACTATGTAACTCGATTTCTTTCACCCCAATCCCTCAAATTAACGGTAAATAACTGAATTGTTTGCCCCACATTTAGCTAAGATGATTAGCTAGCCAGCTAAAATGTTTTATTTAGTTAGCAGTCGCATCTACAATATTTTACTGTCAATAACATGTCTCCAAAAATGACGTGGTGTCTCCAATTGTGTTGACATTTTACAATTGCGATGCGCATCCATGAGTATCCACTTTCTGTAGCTCAGCTGGTAGAGCACTGCGCTTGTAACGCCAAGGTAGTGGGTTCGATCCCCGGGACCACCCATACACAAAAATGTATGCACGCATGACTGTAAGTCGCTTTGGATAAAAGCGTCTGCTAAATGGCATATTATTATTATTATTATTATTATTATTATTATTATTATTATCTGAAGAGAGCCCCGAAACATTGTGTGCAGACATTTTATGCAATAAATGAAGTAGGTTGAATCTAGTAGTTCTGATCTTCTGATTGGTCCTGATGAGTTGGGCGAGGTCCCCTCCAGGCTAGTGTCACTGTTGCATTGGCTCTGAGTCGGGTTCTCTGTCTTCAAATGTTCAGCCTAAGAGAGGGGATTTTTGTGTGTGTGTGTGTGTGTGTGTTTAACAGTGATGATGTGTGTGTGTGTGTGTGTGTGTGTGTGTGTGTGTGTTTAACAGTGATGATGTGTGTGTGTGTGTGTTTGTGTGTGTGTGTGTGTGTGTGTGTCCTCAGAGCAAGAACTCGTGAGTTGGAAGAACTGAGAGGCCTATGGCGTGGGTGTTGTCCTTGGCCACCTGCTGACAAGGCTGACAAGATAGGACCCTTTTGTCCATTGTTATTGGATAGGAACATAACTTATAACCAGCTCCTGACCTAAATAGATCTTAGCACAACATTTTACTCAACATATCATATTCCATATTCACTATAACAAATATATTTACTACGACATTAGCAAGAACCGCCACATCCTCAGCCGGCTAATCCAGTGTGTGAAGTTTTGCGGAGTGTTTGAGTTAGCTTTGCGAGGCAAAGATGAAACTGAGGGCTCCACCAACCCTGGTAAGCCAACACTTTTGAGATCAGTCAATAAATGCTTCTGGTATTGACTTATATGCTGCCCCTGTCTTCATGTTGTTGCTGGACATATCTTTTTTAAAATGTGTGTAGGTCACCTAAATCATCAGAAAAATTGCCCCCCCTGAGAATTTTTTCAGGAGCCGCCACTGACAGGGAGAATGATGGCAAAACAGTGAGACACATTTACATTTTAGTCATTTAGCAGACGCTCTTATCCAGAGCGACTTACAGTTAGTGAGCGCATACATTATTATTATTTTTTTTTTTTTTTTTCATACTGGCCCCCCGTGGGAATCGAACCCACCACCCTGGCGTTGCAAACACCAAGATGGATAGAGAGAATATGCTCTAGATTAGGTTCAGAGAGAATATGCTCTAGATTAGGTTCAGCGAGAGGGAGAATGAAAGGGGAGAGAGAGTGATAGAGAGTGAGTGGCTGTCCTTTTGGGGCCCCTTTTACCTGCACTGGCCCCCTCAGGCCCCTGGACATCTTTGACCAGGCCGTTGAGGCCGGGCGGAGGGCCACAGGAAGGGACGGCACCAGCACGGGGCGGGCGTTTCCCTGGCACCTTCACCGTCACCCGCAGCATGTCCATTTCCTTCCCATGGGCATTCTGCATGTAGTCCTGTCAGGTCAGTGGGAAAGGTCGACCATTACAGAAGATATATAGGGGTATTGTAGCATGGTCCAATCCGTTCTGAGATTCAATAGTGTTCAGCAGGTTATACAAGGGTCGTTCCACCAATTGGCTGCCTTCTGAGCAGTGTAATTTGGTGGGGGGAAAAAAAAACATTTTCTTTCACCTAATTTTAATATTCTGTCATAAAGAGCACATGTTCAACTTAATAAAAATATATAAAAACATCTCAAGATGTTACATTTAAAAAATGAACTATATTAAGTGCCTATTAAGTGCAAAGTAAAGTTACAGGGTTGACCGTAACACGTTTGACGATTTCATCTTAAATCAGCCATAAATCCCCTTGTGACAAGGGGAATGAAAGCTTGCTGTGTGCAACAGGGACGGGCAATTGAATGCAAGCTTTTAAAAAATAAATTGTTAAAACATTTCTAGCCTGTCTATCTATGGGTAACAGGGTTGACGTGTTAAGCTCGACCCGCTCAGTTTTCCTCCACAAAACACCAGAAAATTGCCAAAAAGAGCAGAACCAGCTCACCTGTTTTTACACTAGGGTTTGACTATAAGTTGTTCAATGTTTATTTTGAAAAATACTATAATAAAGGAATAGTTTGACCATATTAAAACGAGAGTTCAGTTCACCTAACAGGGTTGACCTTAAAATGAGGGGGGGGGGGGGGGGGGGGGGTTTACCTTAAAAATGAATCACTAATCACATTAAATAAATAATAATCGCCAGAAATGACTATGAAAGCAACATAATAACTAGGGCTTTACAATGATGGTAAAAACTTGGGGACATTTTGGGGTTAAGTGGGTTAACATCTTCCTAGAAGTCACAGAGGGTGCACATAGAGACATGTAAAAATGCTGTCTTTATTCATATAAAAAATCTGATTTATTGAATTTGACATGTGGTCTATATTAAATGGCAATTAATTTAATATAAAAGGCTTTTTAAATGAAATATTTGTACTTAAAATATCAATGGCACTCATTTAGTGGAACGACCCACAAACTATACCACTGTAGCCAACTGTGGGATTCAATATCCAACCATACTCCAAAGTCCCTGTCATAGAGCCCAGAGTTTTTCCTGTCAGGTCATGTGGTCAAATAGACAAACTCAATTTCTCAGTCTAGGAAGCTCTATCATAAATGCGTGTCCCTAATCAGCTATATGTGAGGTTATTAGGGATATGTCCATACAAACAGCTAGACTATAGTGTAGCACTGTGTGTCAGTGCATTGACTCACATTGACGCTTGAGTGATAGGAGAGCATGCCGTTGTTGGACAGCGTGACATATTTCTTCTTCCATTCCTTGTTGAGGGAGTTGCCACTGCGCTTCAGTAGGATACTCTGGTGGAGGGAGAGAGGGATGGAGAAGAGGAGACAAGGATAAGACACACATTCTTTATCTGTTCTTTGTTATCTTTCATCACCCTTATGCCAAAAGAGCCTAGCAGGAGCCTAGAAATTCTCAAAGGTAAGTTGAATCCCTCTCCTAGCTCCATGACGTGAGTTCATTGTCTGTGGTGAGCTCCTAAAGACTGCTGTGATTTCCTCTCTACACAGCTCCTACAGGATATACTGTCACCCACCTGTTTAATGGGGATGGAGCGTCCACTGCCCAGGTCTCCTATCTTACTGTCTGTACTCCTCCTCTCTGAGTCACTGCCCCTTCGGCCCTGCAGACAGGGCACAGGACAAACGACAACAATAAACAGGAGAAAACAGAGGGAGAGAGAGAGAGAGAGAGAAAAATACAGACAGAGAGTGAAGGAAAAGGCACAGGAGAGGGACTATAATCCATGAACAAAGCTAAAAAGAGTACATTTCAAAGAAAGCACAGGGCCCCTGAGAGGGTTATGGATGGGTCGATGAGGAAACTAAAGTCAGTAAATGTGAAAGTGTGTGTGTGGGTGGGCGCCTGCGTGTGTATACATGTTGGAGAGTATGTTACCGTGAAGCGGGAGCCGGTGCGTCGCCGGGGGGCGCTGCGGACAGACCCTGGGGTGGCACTGCCCAGCCTCTCCCCCCCTGCTGCCCCACCGATCTCCTTATGACTGATCACTGGGGTGGAGGGCAGGGAGGACGAGTAGTCACTGCTCTGACCACCGTTACTGGCCTGAGAGAGAGAGAGAGAGACAGAGAGAGAGACAGAAAGAGTGACAGACAGTAAACATTTGAAAAGAGAGAGAGAGAGATAACAGAGAATGATGTCTGAATATCTGAAAAAATATGGAAACAAAATCTTTATACAGTATCTGATTGGGCACTGATCTGGACAATACCAGTCCAACATTATTAACATCCTATTGATTTGGGCCAGTGCCTCATCTCCAGTATGGAGGACTAGAGGCCAGAGTTGCTGCTGTACCTGTCCAGGAAAGACTCCTGACACTGGGGTAGAGCCTCCAGAGTGACTGGGAGAGTTGGGCAGGGATTTACAGGAGGCCAGTAGAGCTGCCTGCTTCTTCACTGCCATGATCTTGTGGGCAGCTATGATAGGTAGAGAGAGAGGACAAATACAAACATTACTCTTGTCAGACAGTCATCTTTCTAGATGCTGCTTATATATGAATTTGAAATTAATTGAATTGGTTGATTCATTCAAATTCCCAGCTAAGCAGCAACATTGTACTGAAATAACTGAAAAGGAGCAGTGTGTGTGTGTGTGTGTGTGCGCGCGTGTCCTCACCCTCGGTGAAGACGCGGTTAACGTTGAGGCCGTAGGTAGCGCAGGTCTCGTAGTAGGTACAGCGCCTCACGTCTGAACACAGCTGTCTGGCCCTGGCGTCCTCTATCACCCGAGGGTTGGTGCTATTGATTTTATCTGGAGGAAGGAGGAACTACCTCAACACTACATTCCAACTTACATCAACACTACACCCCATTGGGAAACTACATCAACACTACATCTGTCACGGTTTCGGCCGAGACTGCTCCTCCTCCTGGTTCGGGCAGGCTTCGGCGAGCGCCGTCCCCGGAGTACTAGCTGCCACCGCTCTATGTTTCGTCAGTCGATTGCTTTTGTCTGTCTGTATCACCTGTGGCCATTTGTGTGTTGATTGCGTGCCCTATAAGTTCCTTGTTTTGTGTTAGTATTATTGTGTGTTGTTATTTTTACTGCCACAGTGTCGGAGCTACGTCTTTCCTCCCTGTTTGTTTTGTGTTTAGTGTTTACGCGTGTGCGTAATTCTCCCTCGCCTCTTTGTGTTTTTGAGGTCAGAGGTTTTCCAGTTTCTTTGGACTATTAAATATACTGTTGGACTTTACCTCAGTGTCCTGCGCCTGACTCCTCCACCACATCCACATCGGTAACGTGACAGAACAACACACCATCATGGAGTCAGCAGGAACAGCGGCGGTACCCGAATCCCTGGAGGACCGGATCAACTACCAGGACAACATGATCCGGCAACTCGGGACCGCCATGGACGAGGTGTCCCACACTCTGCGCCGATTGGTGAATCGAGAGGTGCCCACGCACTCTTACAACATCCCATCACCAACGGCCAGTCCTCCTCTCTCAGCACCGGAACCCAGTGGCATTCGGCTCTCGCTCCCGAGGGCATATGACGGTTCTGCAGCCGGGTGTCAGGGATTCCTCCTGCAGGTGGAACTTTACCTTGCCACCATACACCCGGCGCCCTCGGGATACGAGAGCGTCTCCGCCCTCATCTCCTGTCTATCCGGCAAGGCGTTGGAGTGGGCCAACGCCGAATGGAGGGGAATAGACGCCACAACCATCACCTACGCGGAGTTCTCCCGCCGCTTCAGGGCTGTCTTCGATCATCCACCTGAGGGGAAAGCGGCGGGAGAGCGTCTATTCCACCTTCGACAGGGGAAGAGGAGCGCACAGGAGTTCGCACTGGAGTTCCGGACACTAGCGGCTGATGCGGGGTGGAAAGAGAGGGCCCTCATCGACCACTACCGGTGTAGCCTACGAGAGGACGTTCGACGTGAGCTGGCCTGCAGGGACACCAACCTGTCGTTCGACCAGTTGGTGGACATTTCCATCCGTCTAGACACCCTGCTGGCTACCCGCGGACGTCCCGAGTGGGGGTCGTCCATTCCACCCTCCAGCACCTCCGAGCCGATTCCCATGGAGCTCGGGGGTGCTGGCGCTAGAGAGAGGAGGAGAGGGAACCCGAGGGGGGCCATCCCCTGCACCACCTGTGGTCGTGGAGGACACACCGCGGCCAGGTGCTGGGGAGGGTCTCCTGGGAGAGGTGACAACAGGCCACGCACTGGGGAGTCATTTCAGGTGAGTAGGCGCCCCACTTACCCAGAGCTTTCTGTTGGTCACATGAGTATTCCTGTGAGATTTCCACAGGTGGCACCTCATTCCCAGCATAAGGCGCTAGTAGATTCAGGCGCAGCTGGGAACTTTATTGATCGGGCATTTTGTGGTAGGTTAGGAATTCCCCTTCGGCCGGTAGAAGCTCCATTTCCTGTCCACGCATTAGACAGCCGGCCGTTGGGGTCGGGTCTGATCAGGGAGGTCACAACACCACTGACGATGACGACGCAGAGGGGTCATGAGGAGACCATTCAGTTTTATCTGATTGACTCTCCTGCGTACCCCGTGGTGTTGGGCCTTCCCTGGTTAAGCACCCATGATCCTACTATAGCGTGGCAACAGAGGGCTCTTATGGAGTGGTATGCCCAGTGTGTAGGGAGATGTCTAGGTGTTTCCGTAGGGGCGACCTCGGTAGAGAGTCCGAACCAAGTGCCCGCACTGCGCATTCCCCCTGAGTATGAGGATTTAGCACTCGTGTTTAGCAAATCGAGGGCAACACGGCTACCTCCTCACAGACAGGGGGACTGTGCGATAAATCTCCAGACAGGAGCAGCCCTTCCCCGGAGTCATGTGTATCCCCTGTCTCAAGAGGAAACAGCGGCTATGGAGACTTACACAGCCGAGTCCTTGGCACAGGGATACATACGGTCCTCTACTTCCCCGGGTCTCCTCGAGTTTTCTTCTTTGTGAAGAAGAAGGACGGGGGATTGCGCCCGTGTATGGATTACCGTAGTCCTCAATCAGATCACAGTTAAATACAGTTACCCACTTCCACTGATTGCGACGATGACGGAGTCATTCCGCGGAGCGCGGTTCTTCACAAAGTTGGGATCTCATGGAGCGGCGTTACAATCTGGGTGCGCAATTAGGGAGGGGGGATGAAGGGAAACCAGCAATTTAGCACCACCTATCGGGTCATTACGAGGGTGGGGAGGGGAAGGGGGGGAGCGAGTGGGGGGGTGCTGTTACTGTAAAGTTTCATTGAGGGCGCTGGTGGTGTAACGCGTTTCAAGGTGGGGGATTGGGAAGTGGGAAACGGGCGATCCCCTTCGGGTGGGGAGGGGGGCAGGTGGGTGGTGCGTCGGGTGGGTGGGGGGTAGGGATCTCACCCGAACAGGGGGGGAAGGAGGGGTCTAGGGGGGGGAAGGGGGTAGGGGGGGGAGGGGGGGAAGGTGAGGCGGCGGGGGGGAAGGGGGGGTGGGGGGGTAGGAGCGGGGATGGGGGGAGGGGGGGGGGGAGAGGGAGAGGGGGGGGGTGGGGGGGGGGAAGGGGGGGAAGAAGGGGGGGGGGGGGGGGGGGGGGGGGGAGGGGAAAAGGGGGGAGAGGGGGGGGGGGGGGAGGGGAGGGGGGGGAGGGTGAGGGGGGGGGGAGGGGGGGAAAGACAAATGAGCAGAAAGGGGAGGGGATGTGAGAGGGTGAGAGGGCTTAATCTTTGTCAGCATTTTCGGGACATGCATGAGTAGCAGGTGTAAGTCTTCCAATCCTTTGTTGACGAGATTTTCCGGGACATGCATGGGCAGGGTGTAGTAGTTTACATCGACGACATCCTAGTGTATTCTTCTACACGAGCCGAGCATGTAGCCCAGGTGCGCCGAGTGTTGAGAAGACTGTTGGAGCATGACCTGTATGTCAAGGCAGAGAAATGCCTGTTCTTCCAGGAGTCCGTCTCCTTTTTGGGTTATCGGTTGTCCGCGTCTGGCGTGGAGATAGAGGTAGACCGGGTATCGGCCGTGCGTAATTGGCAAACTCCAACCACTGTAAAAGAGGTGCAGCAGTTCTTGGGTTTTGCTAATTACTACCGGAGGTTTATTCGGGGTTTTGGACAGGTTGAAGCTCCCATTACGTCCCTGTTAAAGGGGGGTCCGGTTCGTTTGCAGTGGTCGGCTGAGGCGGACAGGGCATTTGTCAAACTAAAGAACCTGTTCACCTCGGCCCCTGTGCTGGCGCATCCGGATCCCTCTTTACCCTTCCAAGTAGAGGTAGACGCGTCCGAGACCGGTATTGGGGCAGTTCTGTCACAACGGTCCGGCACGCCACCTAAACTCCGCCCCTGTGCGTTCTACTCCAAGAAGCTCAGCTCGGCGGAGCGTAATTATGATGTTGGGGACAGGGAGCTGTTAGCCGTAGTCCAGGCCCTAAAGGTGTGGAGGCATTGGCTTGAGGGGGCTCAACACCCTTTCCTCATTCTGACTGATCACCGTAACCTGGAGTACATCCGGGCAGCTAGGAGATTGAACCCTCGTCAGGCTAGGTGGAACATGTTCCTAACCCGGTTCGTTTTTAAGATCACATACATCCCTGGGTCCCAGAATGGTAAGGCAGACGCCCTGTCCCGGCGGTATGACACAGAGGAGAGGTCCAACGAGCCTACTTCCATATTGCCGGAGTCTTGTTTGGTGGCTCCGGTGGTATGGGAGGTCGATGCGGAAATCGAGCGGGCACTGCGTACCGACCCTACTCCCCCCGAGTGTCCTGTGGGGCGGACGTACGTTCCGCTCGAGATTCGTGATCGACTGATTTATTGGGCTCATACATCACCCTCCTCTGGACATCCAGGTATTGGCCGGACCGTGCACTGTCTTAGCATGAAATACTGGTGGCCAACGTTAGCTAGGGATGTGAGGGTTTATGTCTCCTCCTGCTCGGTGTGTGCCCAGTGTAAGGCGCCTAGACATTTGCCCAGGGGTAAGCTACACCCCCTGCCCGTTCCACAACGACCATGGTCCCACCTATCGGTGGATTTCGTAACCGATCTTCCCCCCTCCCAGGGGAATACCACCATTTTGGTCGTTGTGGATCGGTTTTCCAAGGCCTGTCGTCTCCTTCCCATGCCGGGTCTCCCTACTGCCCTACAAACCGCTGAGGCCCTATTTACCCATGTTTTCCGGCACTATGGGGTCCCCGAGGATATAGTGTCTGACCGAGGTCCCCAGTTCACCTCCAGAGTTTGGGGGGCGTTCATGGAACGGTTGGGGGTCTCGGTAAGCCTTACCTCGGGGTACCACCCAGAGAGCAATGGGCAGGTGGAACGTGTCAACCAGGATGTGGGTAGGTTTTTGAGGTCCTATTGCCGGGACCGGCCGGAGGAGTGGTCTAGGTTCATCCCCTGGGCAGAGATGGCCCAGAACTCTCTCCGCCACTCCTCCACCAATTTAACACCTTTCCAGTGTGTTTTAGGCTATCAGCCGGTCCTGGCACCATGGCACGAGAGCCAGATCGAGGCTCCTGCGGTGGACGAGTGGATTTGGCGCTCGGAGGAGACGTGGGACGCTGCCCATGTCCATCTGCAGCGTGCCATCCGTCAACAAAAGGCGAGCGCCGACCGCCACCGCAGTGAGGGACCGGTGTACGCACCGGGAGATCGAGTCTGGCTCTCGACTCGAAACCTGCCCCTCCGCCTGCCCTGCCGGAAGCTGGGTCGGCGGTTTGTGGGGCCCTTCAAAGTCCTGAGAAGATTGAACGAGGTGTGTTACAGGTTACAACTGCCTATAGAGTATAAAAATATTAACCCCTCGTTCCATGTGTCTCTTCTCAGGCCGGTGGTAGCTGGCCCACTCCAAGAAGATGAGATAGGAGAGACCCCTCCGCCCCCTTTGGACATCGAGGGGGCCCCGGCGTACCGGGTCCGGACCATCTTGGACTCGAGGCGCCGGATGAGTGGTCTCCAGTATCTCGTGGAGTGGGAGGGGTACGGTCCGGAGGAACGGTGCTGGGTGCCCAGGAGGGACATACTCGATCCATCCCTCCTGACTGAGTTTCACCATGGGCATCCCACGCGCCCGGGTCCGCGTCCTCCTGGCCGTCCCCGAGGCCGGGGTCGGCGCACGGCTGGAGCCGCGCGTCAAGGGGGGGGTACTGTCACGGTTTCGGCCGAGACTGCTCCTCCTCCTGGTTCGGGCAGGCTTCGGCGAGCGCCGTCCCCGGAGTACTAGCTGCCACCGCTCTATGTTTCGTCAGTCGATTGCTTTTGTCTGTCTGTATCACCTGTGGCCATTTGTGTGTTGATTGCGTGCCCTATAAGTTCCTTGTTTTGTGTTAGTATTATTGTGTGTTGTTATTTTTACTGCCACAGTGTCGGAGCTACGTCTTTGCTCCCTGTTTGTTTTGTGTTTAGTGTTTACGCGTGTGCGTAATTCTCCCTCGCCTCTTTGTGTTTTTGAGGTCAGAGGTTTTCCAGTTTCTTTGGACTATTAAATATACTGTTGGACTTTACCTCAGTGTCCTGCGCCTGACTCCTCCACCACATCCACATCGGTAACGTGACAACATCTCATTGGGAAACTCCAGCAACACTACATCTCATTGGGAAACTACATCAACACTACATCTCATTGGGAAACTACATAAACACTATCTCATTGGAAACCTTCATAAACCTTTATAAACCCATATAGACTCCACATGATGTTATCTTTAGAATAACATGGGTTGTTTGGGTATGGGTGGGGTCTTACCTTGGGTGCCCACGACTATGAAGGGGATCTCAGCGATGTTGCGGTGAGTGCCCAGCTCGCTGTAGTTCCTGTACACTTCCTGGAAACTGGCCTCGTTCTCCAGACTGAAGACCAGGATGACCCCGTCCACCCAGCTAGCCATCTGGAGGGGAGGGGGTGAGACGGCAGGGGAGGATAGGAGAGGGGAAAAGAGGTAAACAAATGGGGAGAGAAGGTGTGAGAGAACGTAAAGATAACAGGTGAGAAGAGTAAAACAGTCCAACGTATTGGTTCATATCACTCTGTCAACTCCATGTGTTTTAAAGGAGACTCACTACTCATCAGTCTGTAGTCAGTAAAGCCTCCACCTACCTGTGCATCTGGGGGTCCTGTCTCCTCCCTGATCAGCAACATGTGACTGTTACCATCAACCAGCACCTCCTTCTTATACCTGCCCTCTGAGAGAGAGCGCGCGCAAGAGAGAGAGAGAGAGAGAGAGAGAGAGAGAGAGAGAGAGAGAGAGAGATGTTTCAAAATCACAGTCTACTTGAACAGAGCAATACTCAATCATGAGGCATCAAAGCCAAAGGAACTGAATAATATTAAGAAATGCTATAGATGGAAGGATAGTAGTTTCGAAACCTACCAAAAAACTATTAGGCAACAACAAATTCAATCCATTCTAGACAACTTCCTGGACAAAACGTTCCACTGTAATAGTGAAGGTGTAAACTTGGCATTAGAAAACCTAAACAGTATATTTGACCTCTCAGCTTCCCTATCAAATCTAAAAATCTCTAACAGAAAACTGAAGAAAAGTAACAACAGTGATAAATGGTTTGATAAAGAATGCAAAAACCTAAGAAAGAAATTGAGAAACCTATCCAACCAAAAACATAGAGACCCAGAAAACCTGAGCCTACGCCTTCACTATGGTGAATCACTAAAACAATACAGAAATACACTACGGAAAAAGAAGGAACAGCATGTCAGAAATCAGCTCAATGTAATTGAAGAATCCATAGACTAACCACTTCTGGGAAAATTGGAAAACACTAAACAAACAACAACACGAAGAGCTATCTATCCAAAACGGAGATGTATGGGTAAACCACTTCTCCAATCTTTTTGGCCCTATAACAGAGAACAAACAGCAAAAAAATATACATGATCAAATGCAAATCTTAGAATCAACTATTAAAGACTACCAGAACCCACTGGATTCTCCAATTACATTGAATGAACTACAGGACAAAATACAAACCCTCCAACCCAAAAAGGCCTGTGGTGTTGATGGTATCCTCAATTAAATGATAAAATATACAGACCACAAATTCCAATTAGCTATACTTAAACTCGTTAACATCATCCTTAGCTCTGGCATCTTCCCCAATATTTGGAACCAAGGACTTATCACCCCAATCCACAAAAGTGGAGACAAATTTAACCCCAATAACTACCGTGGGATATGTGTCAACAGCAACCTTGGGAAAATCCTCTGCATTATCATTAACAGCAGACTAGTTCATTTCCTCAGTGAATACAATGTACTGAGCAAATGTCAAATTGGCTTTTTACCAAATTACCGTACAACAGACCACGTATTCACCCTGCACACCCTAATTGACAAACAAACAAACCAAAACAAAGGCAAAGTCTTCTCATGCTTTGTTGATTTCAAAAAAGCTTTTGACTCAATTTGGCATGAGGGTCTGCTATAGAAGTTGATGGAAAGTGGGGTTGGGGGAAAAACATACAACATTATAAAATCCATGTAGACAAACAACAAGTGTGCGGTTAAAATTGGCAAAAAACAAACACATTTCTTTCCACAGGGCCGTGGAGTGAGACAGGGAGGCAGTTTAAGCCCCACCCTCTTCAACATATATATCAACGAATTGGCGAGGGCACTAGAACAGTCTGCAGCACCCGGCCTCACCCTACTAGAATCTGAAGTCAAATGTCTACGGTTTGCTGATGATCTGGTGCTTCTGTCACCAACCAAGGAGGGCCTACAGCAGCACCTAGATCTTCTGCACAGATTCTGTCAGACATGGGCCCTGACAATAAATCTCAGTAAGACAAAAATAATGGTGTTCCAAAAAAGGTCCAGTTGCCAGGACCACAAATACAAATTCCATCTAGACACCGTTGCCCTAGAGCACACAAAAAACTATACATACCTCGGCCTAAACGTCAGCGCCACAGGTAACTTCCACAAAGCTGTGAACGATCTGAGAGACATGGTAAGAAGGGCCTTCTATGCCATCAAAAGGAACATAAAATTTGACATACCAATTAGGATCTGGCTAAAAATACTTGAATCAGTTATAGAACCCATTGCCCTTTATGGTTGTGAGGTCTGGAGTCCGCTCACCAACCAAGAATTCACAAAATGGGACAAACACCAAAAATATCCTCAGTGTACAACGAAAAACACCAAATAATACATGCAGAGCAGAATTAGGCCAATACCCGCTAATTATTAAAATCCAGAAAAGAGACGTTAAATTCTATAACCACTTAAAAGGAAGCGATTCACAAACCTTCCATAACAAAGCCATCACCTACAGAGAGATGAACTTGGAGAAAAGTCCCCTAAGTAAGCTGGTCCTGGGGCTCTGTTCACAAACACAAACAGACCCCACAGAGCCCCAGGACAACAACAACAACAACAACAACACAATTAGACCCAACCAAATCATGAGAAAACAAAAAGAGAATTACTTGACACATTGGAAAGAACAAACAAAAAAACAGAGCAAACTAGAATGCTATTTGGCTCTAAACAGAGAATACACAGTGGCAGAATACCTGACCACTGTGACTGACTCAAACTTAAGGAAAGCTTTGACTATGTACAGACTCAGTGAGCATAGCCTTGTTATTGAGAAAGGCCGCCGTAGGCAGACCTGGCTCTCAAGAGAAGACAGGCTATGTGCACACTGCCCACAAAATGAGGTGGAAACTGAGCTGCACTTCCTAACCTCCTGCCAAATGTATGACCATATTAGAGACACATATTTCCCTCAGATTACAGAGATCCACAAAGAATTAGAAAACAAACCCAATTTTGATAAACTCCCTTATCTACTGGGTGAAATACCACAGTGTGCCATCACAGCTGCAAGATTTGTGACCTGTTGCCACAAGAAAAGGGCAACCAGTGAAGAACAAACACCATTGTAAATACAACCCATATTTATGTTTACTGTATTTATTTTCCCATTTGTACTTTAACTATTTGCACATTGTTACAACACTGTATATATACACATAATATGACATTTGAAATGTCTTTATTCTTTTGGAACTTCTGAGTGTAATGTTTACTGTTAATATTTATTGTTTATTTCACTTTTGTTTACTATCTACTTCACTTGCTTTGGCAATGTTAACATATGTTTCCCATGCCAATAAAGCCCTTAAATTGAATTGAATTGAATTGAGAGAGAGCGAGCGAGAGAGAGAGCGAGAGAGCGAGAGAGCGAGAGAGCGAGAGAGAGGGAGAGACGGAGAGAGAGTGAGAGTGAGAGCGAGAGCGAGAGGGCAAGATCATTACAAGAAGCCCTTTGTGTTAGTAGTATTGTCTATACAGGAATCCATAGCTCTGTCTATGAATTTGAGAGTGGTTAAAGTTTTCCAAACCCATCCCTCAGCTATTTACCAAAACACTGGTGGGGTGACCGATTTGTTGTTGTTTGAACTGCCGATTGCCCCCTTTAAGTACACAGCACAGTATGTCTGTGTGGAGATGATGTCAAACTCACCATCTGGGTTCTCCAGGGGGAGGTAGCTCCCAGTCATGTGTCTGTGGACCAAGGCTGACTTTCCACTGCAGAGACCTCCCAACACCCCCTGTGTACACACACACACACACACATAAATACACAGAAGGATATGTTTACCCCACTCTCTCTATTAGAGTGACATGTTTACCCTACTCTTCTACAACTACTACAATTTACTACTATTATCATCAACATAGTATACAGTACATTATAATACACTGTTACTGTCGCTGTCTCTGTTGAAGCCAAGACTACACTTATTACTTATTCTACTGCAGGGTTCTTCAATTCCGGTCCTGGAGGGCCGAAACACCTCTGTTTTTCATCCTCTCCTTCTAATCAGGGGCTAATTCAGACCTGGGACACCAGGTGAGTGCAATTAACTACCAGGTAGAAATAAAAAACAGAAGTGTTTCGGCCCTCCAGGACCGGAATTGAAGAACCCTGTTCTACTGGAATGACTACAATAATGATAACAACACCGCTCTCACCAAACGGAGCTCTTGGACGGTTGGACTGAAGGTCCATTCTTGACTGTTAGTGCACGCCGCTGTATACAGAAAAAGAGAGAGAGAGAGAGAGAGAGAGAGAGAGAGAGAGAGAGAGAGAGAGAGAGAGAGAGAGAGACTGATTAATACATCATACGGTCAATGTCGTGATCACGTGTTCCCTCTCCCTGTTTGCCTCCTGCCTAAAGCCTGCATAGAGGAGGGGAAACTTTCAAAGTCACCGGCCGTCGCACATCACAGCACTCTGAAGCTGTGAGGCGTGCCACGCCGTTCCGAGTGGCCACTGCCGCCACTGCAGTGTGTGTGCCCCCATATGTGCCCTGTCGCAGGTCCAGATGGCACAGAATATAGAGTTAGGGGAGGAATGGAAGACGAAAAGAGGGAGCGAGAGAATGAGCTAGAGCTGCGAAGGAGGAGTGCAAATTAATTGCACAAGCTCAGTGGGGCTGCAGTGGTGAGGCTCAAGTTCATTAGCAGCTATTGTGGATGGAACCCAGAGCTAGCGTGCCTGTGTGTGTGTGTGTGTGTGTGTGTGGTGTGGTGTGGTGTGGTGTGTGTGTATGTGTGTGCCTGAGCGTGTATGCGAGATGATTAACAAACAACCTCCTTGTATTTTATTCATCCAAAATTCCAATTCAAGCCTCAGTTTTCACCTTAATTTTGATGCTGCGCAGAAAGCCAAAAAAATTGGGTGTACTGTAAAATGAAAACAAGGATCTCCCCCAAGCATCCTAATTACTGGGTATCTGTTATTTCACTGCATCACCCAGAGGTGTACAATAATAAATGAGAAGCACAGACAGGGGTCTTCACAACAGGTGACTGCCAATGAGTAGATGATGGTAGTCAGTTATCTTTTCCTTTATAGACTTTTATCAAAGTCACATAATCTTCTATTTGTACACTACTGCAAAAGCCCTCGCACAGAAAAGAGTGAGATGGAGATCCATGGTGGACACCCTTTGTTACCAAAGGGTCCAAGAGGATTAAGTCAAGTCACACTACTGCATAGCAGAGAGGAAGAGGACTAGTAGGTACTGTCACATCCTTAAAGTAGCTGCCAATTTCATTCCTCATAGTGACATAGTCAATCAATAAGAGTGCATTTGTTCAGATGTGGACTTGAAGACTAATGGACATGCAGTAGAGTAGACATGTAGAATTAATGTGACAATCTTTTACATGGATTTGTGTGCATCTCAAATGGCACCCCTATTCCCTATGTAGTACACACATTTTAAAGCAGGACCCATAGGGTATAGGGAGCCAGTTGGGACGCAGACAAGGTTTTGAGATGGGTTGAGTGTCGTACATGTACCAGCGTACTCCAGGACGAGACTAGCTGCCTTTGTGCACTAGACACCCCAAGGCCAGACTGTCTACCAGAGTCCCAGGCTGCTTCCCAAATGGCACCCTGTTCAAAAGTAGTGCACTATACAGGGAATAGGGTGCCATTTGGGACGCAGTCCCACACAACACAGGCACTTAAACCAATGTATATATACAAAAGACTGGAGTGATGGATGGGAAATAAAAACATTAACAAGCATATTCTGCAGTGCACACACACACCATATATAACAGTCCCTCTATCCAGAAGACAGATTCCTGATTTGGGCAACAGGCAGCATCACACACACACACACATCTACATATGGCCACACAAATGATGACACCGACTCAATCAAAAGGGTCTTTGGAGGTCTGAGTAAAGCAGTGTTGAAGCCAACCCAGTCAGACAGTGTAATCCCTCACACACAGAATCCTTTCTCTCTGGACACACCACCATTGAGGGAGTCTCCACAGGCACACATTATATACTGCCTGTGCTTTGCTGTGCGCACCGCCACACCTCAGTGACAATATGGTAACACAGCCACCACCACTTCCTTCCACTCTTGCTCTCAGGGGAGATGAAAATCCCTTACCCTCTCCCTGTCAGTCTGTCTATAGGTCTCTCCCTCTCTCCATCCCCCCCCCCCCCCCCCCTTCTCTCTCCAGCGTCACACCACCGACCAAACAGCATCTCCTCGCTTGCTGTTGCCATGGAAACCCTTCTTCCAGAAATTGCCTGGCTCTTCGCACAATAAATGCTATCATACATACAGCGGTGTGTGTGAATACATACAAACATAGGCTACACATACTAGAGCCCACATACAACACTGTGGTCCTCTGTAGCTCAATTGGTAGAGCATGGCGCTTGTAACGCCTGGGTAGTGGGTTCAATCCCCGGGACCACCCATAAGTAAAAATGTATGCACACATGACTGTGTCGCTTTGGATAAAAGCGTCTGCTAAATGGCATTTAAAAAATGCTGAAAAATAAATATTTGACACTAACCAGGTTTCCATCCAAACTTTTTATGTGAGTAAAGTACATGTTGGATAAAAAAATGTAATGACAAGCCTGATGTCTCGGTAAACTTTCCAAATGTCGACAAAATAAAATACGCTAGAGAAGGTGTAATCGTTTTGTGTCATTAAAATGAATTATGTGAGAAATGTCGGTGGAAACACTTATGCGCAAATATTGATTTAATAACCATCATATTGAAGTAGACTTGGAGTCACGCGATGACATGTGTGGTCCTCCCACTACGACTCGTCGGGAAAGTATGCAGTTTATTAGACTACAGATGAAGTAAGTTATGAAGAACTTCACAGGGCGGTGAAAGTGCAAGGTGATGAACTTGATGCTCCTTTCTAATAAATATCGAGGGTCCTATTCTGGTGGCATGATCATCGCTGCTTCGCTGCCGTTTGACAAATACAAATAATCTCGCTCTTTTGTCCATAATAATCTCATCATGTAGGCTATACCCACACTGTATCTGCGAGCTGTTGGCTAGAGCGCACCTGCCAATACCAGAGTGGGCACACTCGCTATAAGGCAATTATACATTTTTCGGAGAAAAAAAACATCAGTAGAGTTAAAAATGCGATGGAAACTCATTCCACTTGTCATCTCGCACAGCCTTTTATCTGCAATAATTCAACCAGATGGAAACACATCTCTGGTGGGAAAATGCGCATATTGTTTTTACTGCAGATGTTAGATGGAAACCAAGCTAATGTTGAGGGCTGAAATACTTGAACGTCAACAACATTTTTGTATTGATGATATGGATATAAGATAGAGTTCATATTTACTGAGTTAACAAAATATAATTTCAAAGTTGAAAATTGCCCCAAATTTTGATTTTTCTGTTCATGAACGGAATTCATTTACCTCAACTATAATAATTGACACCATCTAAAATAAAATATGTTTGCAATCAAAGTGAAATGCCCCCCAAAAATTTAATGGAGGGGTAGAAGGATTATTTTATCCTATCGCAGGTATTCCTTAAAGAGGTGGGGTTTCAAGTGTCTCCGGAAGGTGGTGAGTGACTCCGCTGTCCTGGCGTCGTGAGGGAGCTTGTTCTACCATTGGGGTGCCAGAGCAGCGAACAGTTTTGACAGGGCTGAGCGGGAACTGTGCTTCTGCAGAGGTAGGGGGGCCAGCAGGCCAGATGTGGATGAACGCAATGCCCTTGTTTGGGTGTAGGGACTGATCAGAGCCTGAAGGTACGGAGGTGCCGTTCCCCTCACAGCTCCGTAGGCAAGCACCATGGTCTTGTAGCAGATGCGAGCTTCAACTGGAAGCCAGTGGAGTGTGCGGAGGAGCGGGGTGACGTGAGAGAACTTGGGAAGGTTGAACACCAGACGGGCTGCGGCATTCTGGATGAGTTGTAGGGGTTTAATGGCACAGGCAGGGAGCCCAGCCAACAGCGAGTTGCAGTAATCCAGACGGGAGATGACAAGTGCCTGGATTAGGACCTGTGCCGCTTCCTGTGTAAGGCAGGGTCATACTCTCCGAATGTTGTAGAGCATGAACCTACAGGATCGGGTCACCGCCTTGATGTTAGCGGAGAACGACAGGGTGTTGTCCAGGGTCGCGCCAAGGCTCTTCGCACTCTGGGAGGAGGACACAACGGAGTTGTCAACCGTGATGGCGAGATCATGGAACGGGCAGTCCTTCCCCGGGAGGAAAAGCAGCTCCGTCTTGCCGAGGTTCAGCTTGAGGTGGTGATCCGTCATCCACACTGATATGTCTGCCAGACATGCAGAGATGTGATTCACCACCTGGTTATCAGAAGGGGAAAGGAGAAGATTAGTTGTGTGTCGTCTGCGTAGCAATGATAGGAGAGGCCATGTGAGGATATGACAGAGCCAATTGACTTGGTGTATAGCGAGCATAGGAGAGGGCCTAGAACTGAGCCCTGGGGGACACCAGTGGTGAGACCACGTGGTGCGGAGACAGATTCTCGCCACGCCACTTGGTAGGAGCGACCGGTCAGGTAGGACGCAATCCAAGAGTGAGCCGCGCCGGAGATGCCCAACTCGGAGAGGGTGGAGAGGAGGATCTGATGGTTCACAGTATCAAAGGCAGCAGACAGGTCTAGAAGGACAAGAGCAGAGGCGAGAGAGTTAGCTTTAGCAGTGCGGAGAGCCTCCGTGACACAGAGAAGAGCAGACTCAGTTGAATGACCAGTCTTGAAACCTGACTGGTTTG